ACATGGATCTGTTGGAACAAATCCAGAGGAGGGCCACGAGAATGATCAGGGGACTGGAGCACCTCCCATATGAAGATCGGCTGAGAAAGTTGGGACTGTTCAGCCTGGAGAAGAGAAGGCTGCGTGGAGACCTCATAGCACCTTCCAATATCTGAAGGGGACATATAGGGATGCTGGGGATGGACTCTTCATTAGGGACTGTAGTGGGAGGACAAGGGGTAATGGGTTAAAAATTAAACAGGGGAAGTTTAGATTGGACATAAGGAGGAAATCCTTTCCTGTTAGGGTGGTGAGGCACTGGAATAGGTTGCCCAAGGAGGTTGTGAATGCTCCATCCCTGGCAGTGTTCAAGTCCAGGTTGGACGAGGCCTCGGGTGATATGGTTTAGAGCGAGGTGTCCCTGCCCATGGCAGGGGGGTTGGAACTTGATGATCTTAAGTTCCTTTCCAACCCTAACCATTCTATGTTTCTATGATTCTATAAGATATAACTACACCATAGTAAAAATCATGTTTTGTGGCCTCAGGGTGAAATAAAGTATCTGTCCAACAAACCTTCCAATGTAAAGCTGGATGTGAAAATTCCTGCAGCATACTGAAATTTCATGAGAAACCTAGGTAGGAACCCAAATGTAAGTACCCAAGGTGAAATTTAGTGCTGACAAGACATTTAGTCCAATGATTAATAAACAGAATAGGGCTAAAGGCATAAAACAGTGCTGTGTAACTGACACACAGATTTAGCTGTGCCATACCAGCCGCTTGCCACGCACCTCCACAGTTAAACAGGGCTTTGACCTCTGGTAGAGGTAGCTCTGGTAATGAAGTGAATAGCTGATTTTACCACAGTATTCCAGTCATGGGGCAGCATTTTAATTAATTGAGAAGCTCAACATGACTAAGCGGTGTGCACTCACAGCCCCGAAGGCCAACTGGGCTGCATCAAAAGAAGTTAAAGAAGCGTGCCCAGCAGGTGGAGAGAGGTGATTCTCTCCCTCTACTCCACTCTCATGAGACCTCATATGCAGTACTGCATTCAGCTCTGGGGCCCCGAACGTAAGAAGGATGCAGACTTGCTCATCTGAGTCCAGAGCAGGGTCATGAAGATGATCAGAGGTATGGAATGCTTCTCCTGTGAAGATAGGCTGAGAGAGTTGGGCTTGTTCGGCCTGGAAAAGACTCAGGGGAGACCTTAAAAGAGCCTTCCAGCACCTAAAGGGGGCCTGCAAGAAATCTGGGGAGCAACTTTTTACAAGGGCACGTAGGGATAGGAAAGATGGAATGGCTTTAAACTGACAGAGGGTAGATTTAGATTAGATAGTAGGAGAAAATTCTTCACTATGAGGGTGGTGAGACACTGGCACAGGTTGCCCAGAGAAATTGTGGCTGCCCCATCCCTGGAAGTGTTCAAGGCCAGGTTAGATGGGGCTTTGAGCAACCTGGTTTATTAGAAGGTGTCCCTGCCCATGGGAGGGGGTTGGAACTAGATAGTCTTTCAGGTCCCTTCCAATCCAAACAACCCTTATGAATCTATGGTTCTATGAATCATCCCATGCAAAGCTTAAAACAAGGGGACGTGGGCTATCCTGGCAGCCAGTGAATGCATTCAGAGTGATGCGGGGTTTTCCCACATTGCATTACACTGTGCTTTGCAGAAATAACTCTCTGGCCATTGTAGCACCAGTTCCTTGAGGGAAGCTAAAGGGTCATAAAAGTCGTAAGAGTAATAGATCATAATCATTATCTCATCTAACCTCCTGAATACCTCTGCCATTCCATTTTTCTTTAGAAGTTAAAGCAAGCCTTTTAGAAAGACTTATGATTTTTGTTAAGATTTCAAACAACGAGTAATTGGTCACTATGTTATCCTTATTGCTTGAATAGTACATCTTACTCAAGATTTAATTTGTTAAACTTCCAGTCATGGGATCACCTTATGACATTAAGACTATAAATCTAAAGACTACAAATCCCTCCACTGTTACTCCTCTTCCATATGCATGGACCTACACACAGTAATTCAGTTCTAACCTTTTTCTTTGATAAGCTTTGACTGGGGTCCTTAAATCTCATGCCAAAGCTGATTTTCCATCTTGAAAGGCAACACCAGGTCTGGGCACAGTATTCCAGTAAGTTGTTTTATGGATGCTAAGTACACAAGACAGATCATTTCCCTAGCTGTATTTCCTATTCCTCGTTTATATATTCAAGAATTGCATTAGCCCTTCTGGCAACATCGCACCAAGAACTTACGCTGAGCCTGCTATGCAAGTGCACCCCTCCCAGAAACAATCTCCAGTTCAGAAGTAATCATGGCATTCTTCACCACTTGCTAGCTGCAGCATTAGAACATACAATTTTTTAAACTGTAACAATTCAATCAACTATTCAGATAATTCTTACCAATAATTTGAGCAGTTTATTACAGAACCATATAATAATTTAGGTTGAAAAGGGCCTAAAAAATACCCAACCTCTTGCTCAAAAGCAGTCAAATTTCCCAGTTAACACAGGCTCCCCAGGCTCTTTCCCCGTCAGGTTTGAAAATCTTGAGGGACTGAGGTTTCACAGCCTCAGTGGGCAACAGCTTTCAAAGCTTACCCACTTTCAGAGTGATCCTTTTTATTTTTTAATAATCTGTGTTGTGTAAACTCATAGCCACTGAAGCCTTCATGTCCACATTTTAGATCTCTGAATGGCATACTAGATTTTATTTCAAAATTTAGCCACAGAGATTCTACAGCTCTCTCATAAGCAAATAGCCTTGTTCAGTGGCATCTGACCACTGACTACATGTTAAAGATCTACCAGTAAGCCAGTCTGCAGTCCATACAATATAAAAATCTGTTAATTTGGTCTAGTTTCCTTGGTTCAGTAAACATCATGTGTAATTTAATTAAAAGCTCCAATACACCCCAAGGAATCTGCAAGAAGACTGAGAGTCAGACAAGTTGCTTCTGTCTAAAAAGCACCTTCCAAGATAGCAAGCAGGCTAGCAGTCATTCTTCTGGACTGCTAACCTTTGCTATTAGAGTCCACCATTTCCCCTGGGAGGTGGCAAAGCAAGAGTTCTCTGCCTCATTTCACACCCTTTATCCAGTCACTGAATTCAGATGGATAACTTCTGCAATTTTCCCAGTTCAGCCTCCTAAAGTATTCCTCAGCTTGGTCTTTAATGTTCTTGAGCATTAACTATGCAGTTATGCTGATTATGAAATGTTTAATTTCAGCAAATGCTGCTTTTCATCTTCCTTGAGCGCAGCTAATACTCCCATTCAAGTCCCTCATCCAAGTACCAATTAGCCCCTGTGGCAGAGCACACAAAATCTGACCAGCCGTAGATGAAAAAGGATAAACCCAAAATAAGCTTATTGCTTTCCACAGTCACCCTGCTCAGGCTCAAACATTGATTTTTCCAAAGTTGTATGTTTCTAAAAAGCTACATATTTGGCATTAACACTATGTATTTATTGACAGAAAAGCTGCTGTTATAATTGTATTTTGTTTCAAAATGTCTGTTTGCAAGATGGCAGTTTAATAGAGCAAGTCTGAGGGTTATTAAGTCCTATACAGAAAGCAACTTGGATGGCTAATTAACTTGGCACCTTGCTTTTGATATTATTTAAACATACTTTTATATCTGTAATAGATTCTTTTGAAGTGTCGTAAGAGTTTGAGTGCTGTCACATTAGGCTGTTACAGCTTCAAATGTGTACTTCTCTGTTCAGGACTATGAATCCAGTACTGGGTAATATGACTACTTATGAGCTGCTGTTACACGTTATGTCAATCCAGCTACTATGCAAGTACGTAAAATCTGTGGAATAAAAAACCTTTATGTTAAGCTTGATTTTAAGAACTGACTGCTTGCCAGGAACTGACTTCTTGACTGGTATTTTAGCCAACTAAAACGTCTTCTTGTCAAGATACCAAAAATGGGCTACTGTTTGTTTGTTAAAGAACTTTGTGCTGAATTAATTTTATCAGAAATGGGTGGTTCATACATATTATTTTAAATTTCTCTAATTTTACAATGGCCAAATGAATTTTTAATCTGCTCTGAAAACTTTTAACGGCAGTTTCCACACCTTCCCTCAGTATCTATACTAGTGCTTAAACACTCTTGCAGTTGAAAGCTTTTACTTGCATACAACTGCACTTGCTGTACTTTCAAGTCACTTGCGGCTTGCCAGGTAGCTGAGTACCACTCCCCTTTGGAGTAATGCTGCACCCCATCCCAGTGCTCCCTGGGGGAACACAAGACCACAGGTACTACAGAAGGCAATAAATACTTAAAAAAGGATGCCATTGTTCACTCAGTCATTCCTCTACATCGTTGCCCACCTCAAGGAAGGCAGCAGAAACTCTGTGGTACTCTTGCCACACTGTTGCACCTTTCCCAGATGGCAGCTGAACAGGTTCCTTTGACTTCATGTGAACGAGGAGGGTCAACAACCAGAGGGCTGCCAACAAACCTCGCAGAGCTCTGGGCTGGAATTCCACCTTCACGGATGGTCTTCACAAAGGTCTCCAAGCTCACACAAGCTGCAGCTGATGGGGAAGAGGTGGCCACCATGCATGGTCACCACACAAGGCTTGCTCTGTGAATGTGAGGATCCAACCCCACACTGTGGAGACATGTTGGGTTTGCTTTATGGAGAACTTCAGGTTTCTCGAGGATGGCTGAGCTTTACCCAGCAGTTCGAAAAGAGGTGATGGCCGGACTTAGGATGAGGCCGACAGTGTCATCCATCCAAAAGGGCCATTACAGGACACGTCCCTTCGGCCAAGGCCCTTCACAGGCTCCAGATACCTCCTCTCCTGACTTCTCACGCAGACTTCCATCCCCTGCGGCCAGCCCTCGAGGCAGTTCCTCGCCGCTTGCCGCCTGACAGCCCTCCAGCCGCAGCGCAGCTGAGCTCGTCCCTCCCCACCGCCCCCGGCCCAGGCAAGGACGCGCCGCCGGATTCGGCCCCCGCCGGTCCTCCCCTCCCCGCCCCGCGGCGCTGCAGAGCTCCCCGCCCTCAGCCTTCTTTCAGCCGCCATCGGCCGCTGCGGCATTCACGGGGCGGTGGGACCGGCAGCTGCTTGCCCCACACCCCCACGCACGGCCCGGCTGCTGCGGCTGCTGCGGCCCCTGCGGGCTCTGGGACTCGGCCCTGAGGCGAGCACGGTGAGGCGAGGACTCCCCGCCAGGCCCAGCCCCGGTGGCGCAGCGATGCCGGCAGCCCGCTGCGGGCCCCGCCGGGCCGCCCTCCGCCCGCTGCATCGTGGCGCCCCGTCTGTGCCGGGCCGCCCCCCGCTGGGCACCTTCTCCGCCCCGTTCGCCTCTTCCTCCCACGGAGCCACCCTCCTCCTCCGCCCCCTCTCCCTTCCAGCCTCCTCCCCGCCCTTCCCCGCACTCCACGCCGGTGCCGGAGCCGCGCGTCACTCGGGCTCCAGCCCCGCAGCAGACATGGCGACATTGACAGCGGTCCAGCCGCTCACGCTGGACAGAGGTAAGCGCGGCCGCCGCCGCTTCCCGCGCTACCGCCGGGCCGCCCGGCCGCCCTACAGTCTTGCGCCGTGCCCGGGGGCCGTCGCGGCGGAGCCAGGGGTCTCTCCCCCAGGTCCCAGCGCGGCGGGCGCTTCTGCCGCGGCGGCTCTGCTGGCAGCGCCGGCTGCGGCGGAGGGCAGTGGGGAGGCGCCTTCCCGCGGGGCTCAGGTGGGAGTCAGGAGAAAGGCTGAAATGGAGGAAATAAAACTTTGTCCGGGTATGGGGTAGCGCTGGCATCCCTCGGGATGTGGCTCCGCTGCCGGCGTTCCGCTCCGCGCCGCTTTGCCGAGCGCCGGGAACGCTCCTCGGTGCCGCTCACTCCACTGCTCCAGCCCCGCGGGGCTTCCCCTTGGTGGCCCAGCGATACCGTCCCCGCCGGTGGCTCGGCGGCGGTTGCTCCGTGGCGGGGAGCCGGCCGTACCGGCAGTGAGTTGGGAGCGCGCACCTCCCGAGGAGACGGGCTTTTGGTGCCTGACTGCGGCGTTCTAGGGGGCTGGCGAAGGGGCGAGGAATGTGGGGAAGAGGGCAGTGAACGTAACTTCCCCGTTCCCTGGCGTTGGTGATGTTCCTCAACCTTGCAGCGCGTCTGTGTATTCATGTAGATAACTACTCCTGTAGTCCGTGTATGGAGAGCTGCTGGTGCTTTGCCAGCCTTGACAGTGTGTCAGTAACCTCACCAAGGTAATGCACGAGGGTGCTGAAATCTTGAAGTTACGTTTAAATTAAACTTTTAGCTTCAGGCTGTAAAAATTGGCTCTCTCCCCTGCAGTGCCTTTGTGCCTGTGATAAGGCTCTGCAAAAATGTTATTAGATTTCTGTGGATTACCGAGGAGAGTAATTTACTGTTCTGATTTGGTTTGCCTCTATGGCTCCATCAATTAGAGAGGCCAAACAGCTTCTGATACAGCATCCTGAACTGTCAGGGTGACCTTCCTAACTTGCATCCAGAGCCTCCAAGAGGCTCCCAGCTCATCCAAATCATGTAGTCTTGAAAGCATGATTGAGGCAAATGCCTTTAAAAAAGGTTTTTTATTTATTTTTTTATTTTCTGGAGGATTAAGATGGGCTTTTGAAGCAAGATAGAGAGCTTCTTGCTGTAAAATCTGTGCAAAAGAAACCTGATGAACTCTGTTTCAAAATGGTAAAGGGCAGCTAGGTACCTTTTCTGGAATCTAATTGAGAGCAAGGCACCTCACAAAGTACTCTGAATACAGTTTGCTGGATGACTCAAATTCCAACATTAGTAGTGGAGGAGAATCTGAAGTTATTTTTAGTGAAATAACAAAGTGCTTTAAATTAAACGGTTCAGAAATCCAGTGTGTAATCTACAGTTTCACCCTAATACTGTTTTCAGTAAGCGGGACAAATCTATTTCCTGGCAAAGGGTTGAACAGATGGCAATCCATTAGCAAACCTGGCTTTTCAAACGAAAGTATTACTCTTTCAGAATTACACATTTCTTTTCATTAGTAAAACTGTGCTTTAAAAAATCCACGGTACACAGAGATGCAGATGACTCCCAATTTAAATATAAGCATCTGTTATCAGTGTCCAGGATATGTCTAACCATTTGGCAGGGGTGCCAACATCAGTCCCCTGGTTGTCATCCAGGGCTGATATTAGTGTGAGAGAGATAAAACGTTGCTGAATGATAGGATGTGACGTGCAAAAGGAAAATACAGGAAAAAAAAGAAAAAAAAAAGATTTAAATACTGCACCTGGCTTGCAGAAGGCCATTTCGTCAGAAGGATGCACTTCTTCATCTGTAACATGTTGCTGCTATGTCAACTGAAGAGAGTGGGCTGAAGCAACCCCAGAAGCAATTGTACCAAGCCCAGTGCTTCCAGGTATTTCCTCCGTAGTATTTCTTTTACAGAAGGAAAGTTCTATACGGTGAGATTTTCCAGATTTCAGTTGGTTCTATTGAAACAGATACAGCTATGTTTACTGTCACTATGATTTGCACAGATCTGGTGTGATTTCAGTTGGTTCTGTTGAAACAGATACAGCTATGTTTACTGTCACTATGATTTGCACAGATCTGGTGTGATTTAGGCACAGCCCTGGAAAGTCTTGTACACTCATACTCACTTTGCCATGTCTCATGGAGAGCTCAGCACAGCAAGGAAACAAACGTTTTGGGAGACTTGCCATTAATAACCTTGCATTGCTGGAGAAATTGTTGCTTGATATCTGTCCACGAAGTGTTCTGCATTTCCTTCTGCTAAGGGGTTGCCGAAATGGGTACATACAGGTACGTATAGGTACATACATCATATAGGTACACATCAGAAGTCTGAATTAAATTCTGACACAATCTCCTCCTGGATAAAACATACATGTTGTATTCTAGTAAGGAGATGGGAGCTTTCTTAAAGCCTGACGTAAATGGCATTCAAAAACTGTATGGTAAAATGAATTACCATTTAAAGGTGAAGGGCATGTTTTGTATGAATGATTGAAAGCCAATTACATTCTGGAAGATTACTTCAGTTCAAAGCACAGGAATTAATTTCCTTAATTCCTGCCATCATGTGCCTTTCTACCTGCTCAAATGTGTGCAAGTTCCATTAGGGCCCTTTAATATGTGGAACAAGTTCACAAAATAATGGAAATTTTAATCACTTACAGTTTAATCTCAAAGGCTTTGCCTGACCTTTGCGTGGTGCTCTGCTGGGAAGAGAGGCAGGAATCAGCAACTGATTCAGGAAGGAAACAAAAATGGATGGAGCTATGTGTGGGTACCACGTAGGGAGGGTGACCCCAGCATTTGGGACCTTTGGAAGGGAAAAGCTGCCTGATACCTGCCTGCTGGGTGTCTTCTAACAGTCAAGTAAGTCTCTCCATAAAAAAGAGCACCCTTCCTCAGCTTTACTGCAAATGTCTTGCATCCTGAATCTGTACCACCCCATCAGTAATCTCCAGTGTCCATCAGAGCTAGCTGGGGCAATTATTTATGTTGATTCAAAGCTTAAACCCTAAAAGTGTAGGGAACTCTACCTTGTTCCATGTTGAGATGGGAAGTTACTGCGCTGTCTTTCATAAAATGATGAGCAAAAAAAAGTCAGGTTTGGTTTATTTTTCTGTGGGTTTTTTTTTTCCTTTTTCATTTTATGTTCAGGTTTATGGGTTTTTAAGTATGTTCCCAGCTTAATTTAGCTCCATTAAAAAAAAACAAAGTGGTCACTGAAAACCAAAAGGGAAATGTTTAAAAACACCTGTACACTTATTTTTCGCTTATACCACAGGTATGTCTGTAGTAAGAACATGGTTGACACTGATTTCGGTCACATCTCTGGTTGCAGTTAGTTGGCATTTTCCAACAGTATTTATTTGTATTATGAGCGTGCCACTCACCACATCTCATCTTGTCCTTCTCTATATGGGCCAGGCAGTGCTGCCTTTGCCTCTCCTCTCAATGTCCTTTGTCTTTCACAGAGGCATTGCCTCAGCCTACCCCACGATCCACAGTTGCTGCCTTCCCCTTCATTGTCCAAAGCCCCACGTGTCCATTGCATGCTGTCTTCTGTTGCCTTGCTCTTCTCAAAGCTTAAGTGCAATATCTCTGTGCATTGTTCATAATCCTATGCATTTTCACTGTTCAGCAACCCAGTTTTCTCCTGTAATCCTTTTTCTTCTGCCGTCCATGACCATCAGCACCTCACCAGCTTGATGCTGTCTCAAATGCAGCATACACATCCAGCGTCAATATTCTGCTTTTCTCCAGGCGCGATGTCATCTTGTCCAGCCAGCTAAGCTTCCTCATGGTTCTCCGAGGTCCTCCTGTGAGTTCCTGTGTGCTGTAGGTACACATTGTGAGCAATTAGAAATTAAAGGAAGCTTGTTGTGGGTGGGATCACTTAAAGGGTGTGTTAGGGCAGCCTGATGGAAACATTTTCTGCAAGTACCATTACACTCCCAGAAAGATGTTGGGAGGAAATGAGTGCTGTGCTTCCCTTGGCACTCATTTCAGGAGTGATATGGAGGTCTGCAAATTGAAGCAGACATCTTTCCAGCTATGCATAATAGATGTTCCTCTCTATCTGAACTTTCTTATTTTGCTAAACAGCTGGCAAATTTTTCATAAAGCTTACCTTACTTTGAATTTTACTTGTGCTTGTCTTTCCAAGATGAAAATCTGCTTTGAAAGAAAGCTGCTCAGATTGTTGCAAAACCTCAGTCCCGGTTCTTGTCTGCACAGGACCAGGAAAGCGGCAGCTTCAGAATGGCACTTTCAAAAGTTGGTTTTGAAAATGTTATACAATTAGCCTGTGCAAAGACCATCTCATGAATAAGAGAGAGGGAATATCGTCTCATGTGAAGAAGGGCTTTCAACTGTCTTTTGTTAATAATCCATGACCTATTATGTTTTCCTTATATAGTTACTCTTCATGTCACTGATGCTTTCACGTCTTCATGTGACTGAGAATAAAGCAAGACATTTGAATAGGCTGAATATACAGTGCCAATATTTTAATCCCTGTGAAGTTTCATCACAAGTTCATAGCTATTGGCTATTGACAGCTAAATTTCTCTCACTTTCAAGTATGTCCTTGGAAACTGGAAACACTTGTTGCTGTTTGGTTGTAAAGTAGAAGTAAATTCTCTTGGACTTTTATGAATGCAAACAAATATTCTTCCGGTAGAGTGGGTGTCCCAAAGCTCCCTGAAAATCTTTTATAAAGCACCATGTTCAGTGATGATAAATGAGAATATGAATGAGCTTGGAATTGCCATTGGCTGTTAGAGGTGATAGACAAACTGTCAGTTGTGGTACCTGGAGTATGCCTGACCATTAATATACATTGGTACTTGCGAGACTAATCCTTCCTTCCTCTTCATCTCCTCTTAGCATTTTTCTTCTCATTACATCTTCATAGCCTTTTTCCCCATCTGTGCCCATATGTATGTATATAACAGAAATTTTATTGAACATAAGTTGTGGTAGACTGTGCATATATT